TCTGAAGAAAAATGTTCTATTTGATGGCCTCAGCTACCAGTTAACTAATCCATCAGGATATAGCACCCTGCTCACCTTGAAATTTCACACATAATATATGCGCTTCTTCCTGAGTATTCTTTACATCACATCTCAGTTATTTTCACACAACTCTCACTTATCATTGACTTTTCATTACTATAATGAGTAACTTTCAGAATTGTACATTTATATATGGTTGAATTAATGCACGGTCCAAACAACAACTCATTAGTAAAACTTTCTTCAGGTTCTAGGAGTAGTCCCACAGAAAAGACAATCAGATGTCATTATCTTGCACTTACATYCCTTTGCTGAGGATATATTCCACATATCTGGGTGCTCAGAGAGCTATGTCAAGCCAGCTAATGTGATTTTGTTATGGGTTAGTTATTCAAATGAAAACCTCAGGCAGTTATAATTGTTTTAGGTCARGCTTTTCTGTCTTGTTCAAAAATATGTAAGATGCACTCAATTTACTTAATCTATTTATTGGTTTCCTCTAGCTGAACTTAAATCTATAATTCCATCTTCCTCTATATCAGAAAGACTTTACATCACAAACAAGAAAACACTTAGGTTTGCTGCAGCAGCTGCAGTAAGGAAAAAGCATTTYACTTTCTGTCAAGCTTCACAACATCTGTCCAGAATTCTTCACAATCAACCCTCATTTATATTTTCTGAAATAACTTGATATAACCTCTCTCACTGAAYAAAGACTGCGACTTGTCCAGGACTYTACTGGCTACATCCCTCCTTACAAGAAAATGAACTTTTATTTATTTCTTAGTTCTGTTTCCTTATTCTAAAGAACCTCATGCCCATTTAAGGGTTTCTCTCTTATACCATGCCTATTTCCTTTCCATGAGAGCCTTTGATGAAAGAAATTGATGAGTTCCTTTTTGGAAACCTAGCTGTCTGTGTCAACTTCTGTTCATGCCTGCTGATTTCTTCAAAGGACTTCACCAAGTTTTAATGACTTGTTCCTTCAAAAGTGTGATGTCAACTCCTCCCCAATGTAGCACATCAATTTCTAATTCTACTCCTGATTATAATTTTTATAAGTTGGCCCACTACATTAACTTACAAGTTAAAGGTTTCTACTCTGTCTTCAAAACATGGCAAGATATTTGCAACATTTTGCTCAGATTTCAAAGCAGTTCTGAGCTAATGATTATATACTGTTGTCAGTGGTTTGACTATTATTCTTTTGAATTGCTTTAGAAAGCCTGGGAGAATAGAATCTTTTTTCCATTGATTTATTTCTGATCAGTTTCTCTATTCCTATCAGCAACTCCAGTTTCTCCTCAGTGAATTCATCAAAAGGGTTCTAGCASAGCAATCTCCACAAATCCTTCCACTAAGAATTTTTCTGAACAAAGCAGCAAAGCAATCATTTAATCATTCTACCTAGACTTATTTTCTGAAAGTAATGATCTGCTGTTCTGCTTAAATATTATTCCCAAGATTCTGTGGCAAACTTCCTGCTACTGATATTTACAGAGAGATTTATTATTCATTTTTCATTCATTGTAAGATTTTTTTAGATTGCTTTATTGTCTTCTACATTTAACTTACCAGACTTTGTAATCTTGTGTATTTTTCCCATTGGGATTTATTTTTTTTTTTTATTTCATCCTGCTGTTTTGTCGTGCTGAGTCTTTTCTTTTTCTAGTCTTACTTGATGTGTGGTATGAATTTATTCCGTGTCTCAAATACGAACTTCTTAGTACTCTCTAGACCACCTGCAAAGATTTAACTCTCCACAATTTTCTCTTTAGCCTCTCTTTAAGAGCTTCCTCAATTTAATGTTCTGATCTCTGAAGTTGAGTACCACTCTACTGATCTTTTTGGTTGTTGCTTCTTCAAAACGAAGAATGATGTATTTGCAGCTAAGGAAAGTTGGTTCAGATTTCAAGACTTTGGAACAGATTGTGTTTTATTCAGAAGGAAATCAAGGGTTAGTTCTCTGTCTGCAGATTCTCTAATCTTTTGAATTACAAATGAGTTAGTCTAAGCAGCACGTTTGTCCAGGTTACATAGTCATTCTTTGGCTTTTGCAATGTTTAGGAGCCCCTCAGATCAGTCAAAGCTGATATTCTGGCTTTTTGTGTAGGAATATGTGTCTGGCAGCACAGTTGTACTTGGAATACATAGGAATTCTGTATCACTCACTGGAATTTTTATTTTGGTAATATGAATTGACCTTTCTTTAACATACTGCACTGCTCTGACACTGGCATGGCTTACTAATCTTTCCTGCACATTGATATTTTTATTATTGCAACATCCTCATATCAGGTTTCCTCGTATTGGTTTCTGCATTTTACATCTCTATCAATGCTAGAAGCCCAAGTAGGACATGTGTCATTGATCTCCTCTTCTGTGTCTTCTAAAACGGCACCTTGTTCACATTTTTTTCCTCTATTTCATGTTTATTACCATCCCAGGGCAAATTAGGGTACAACCATAAATACTGGTATTCCAGATAACAGAATGAAGTTTTTTTAAATATTGATAATGCTCTCGTAAGAATGCATATGAGGAAACATCACAGGAAAGAAACTACTTAATTGGTACTAAGACATCAAGGAATGCAAAGGCTGTTCCCCTGGATAAATAGGTTTTAAAATTCTACAAGAAATATTGGCATCCAGCATGCAAGGTACTACTTTTATTGAATCTAACACTAATGCAGGATCTCATTACCGTGGGAATTATAAAACGTAGTCCATTTCCCCGACAAGTTATTATTTATTAAACATTATCACTGCCTACTTTCCAAGGCCACAGAGATCCAATCTGTTTCATACATATTTGTGTTGGGAGAAGATAAGCCAGTCAGAGGCTTTCAAGCTAGACTGTAAAGAGTTACTACACCACAGAACCAAAGAATCACAGAATATTCTGARTAGGAAGAGACCCACAAGGATCATCAAGTCCARCTCTTAGGTGAATGGCCCCCACAGGGACTGAACACAACYTTGGMATWATCAGCACCACGCTCTGACCAAMTGAGGTAATTATGAGCGAGAGGTGAGTGTGAGTGCACGTGTACACACAGACCCTTTCAACTACACTAAGTACATAATAGAATTATGATATGGCTGGTGCACAGACTCCACYTTCTAAAGGATTTTGCTATTTCAGACTGTGGTTTCACTCCAATGCAGCTGAGCAACTGAAATTCGAGCAAGCTGTTTTTGTAAGTGGTTTTTTCTCTTGTGGCTGGGTTCTCTTTGGCTAAGAGTGAAGCTCCCCTCTAGCAGGTCGTTTAAAAGATCTGTCTTGAGACAAAGGGATAAACTCACTCTGTGACCCTGCCTTTAGAGGAGACACCACCAGAACCTCCCCTCCACACAGCTGGCAGTTTCCATCAAATCTGTTGCGGTCCTTAAGAGCTGTATCTGCTCAGATCTGACAAATTTGACTGAAACAGGCAAAGTTTGTTAAGCCATAGGAAAAAACCCACAGAACMCACTGGCACATAAACATTGCCTTCTTAAGAAGCCAGGTCAAAATCCAGAAACTTGGAAAAAAATGGTAGAGCCTTGCTACYGGGGCAAAGCTCTTCCACAGCCACATGCACAAATTACCCAACATAATTCCTCATGGGCAGCAGAGCCCAAGWGCTCAGCCAATGAGACAGTGAAGGAAGGATGCACTCCAGTTCACACAACTGGGAGAAACTTAGCCTGGCAGGAACCTAGCTCAGATCTGAGTGCAACTGCATAGCATTCTGATTATGACAAAAAAAGGTGAATTACGATGAAAAAAGCAAATTCCTAGTTAAGCCTAGGAAGAACTTAGTGAGAAAAAAAGTGATTGGTCTCTCCACTGGTCTGAAAAATTAGCAAAAGGAGAAATGTTACAGCCAATGCAACCAGGAAAACAGATAAATAGAGGTAACATTATGGATTAATTCCCCCTTTTTTTTTTTTACACTGCTGCTTGAGGTTGAGAAGCACTTTGTGTCAGCAAATGCTTTTGCATTATGTGAAAATCAAGCCTGCAGGGTACTCTTAGGAAATATACACAGAAACACCCTTACAGTTCTCCTGTAGATCAGCATACAATTATGGAAGTTGTAAAGCCGTCCTTGCCTTGGTCTTTAACCTGTTTCCTTTTATTCAGCAATTTTGTTGTCTATAAGCTACTTCCCCTACTGATGACTGGAGGATCTGGGTGCTCTATAGTTCARTCATTAAAACTTTTAATATAGTGGTTTATGGCAGCCACAGACATGTTTTTCCTAAAGAAAACATACCTGTGGGGTCAGGATGCCAGAAACCAGTCTGAAAGCTGACAGATTCAGCATCCCATACGATTTCTGTCTTCTGTAAGGACCGGAGAGTATCCACAAAGGCCTTCACTTCCCTTTATTATTTTTAGATTTAGACTGCCTACCCTCAGCTTTTCATGCATGGACTGCATGGACTTTGCAAACTCCAGAAAAGCAGTCTGGATTTTAAAATTCTGGATTTAAGAACTCTTTTAAAAGTTTTTGATAATTTACTGCTGTTCATTCATTGAAATGAACAATTTTGTGAATAACAACAAACAGCACAGGACATTACCAGTCTTTAGGTTCCTTGTCTTGGTTACTTTGACTGACATTTTTATAAAGWCACTGTTAGCAGAGGGCCACCTGATAGAAGCCAAATGCAGAACTATCACGTAGGAAGCTGATGAGTATTCATAAAGAGCACTCAAATGGTTCATTAGCTAGAATGACTGATTGCATCCATGACTCTGGAACCCACATTTAGTTTAGTCTTTATCACTGGAATTAGCATTAACTGACAGAAATAATCCCTTTAAAATTATTTCACAGAAGCAAGTGGACAAGAAATATCCACTACAAAATATTCCTGAAATAAAAACAGAAACTTGCCACCAGTAGTGTTTACTATGCGGCAAGTAATATTTAAATACAGAAAAGATAATATGTGCTCAATCAAACTCAGCTAAAGAATTCACCATTACACTTCAGCAACCTAAACATTAAAAAATAACATAAAAACAACAATAAYAACACAACATTTATAATAATAGTAGCAAAGACAATTGTAATTTCCTTTTACTCAGGAGTTTTGGAGACCTAAAGAGGTGTGCTTCAGGAAAGCAAACTGCAGTTCACATCACTGCTTTTATAATAACATATTTTAYGCATGTACAATAGTTTAATGATGATGTTTGCTAACACAATACTTTTATTTCCTTACCACCTCAAATCCATCAGCTTAAAAAACATTCTGTGCAATTTATAGTAACAGTTAAGAACTCTAATTCTATGCTGAGGGCTCCAAATATTAAACATTCTTATTCAGTGAATGCCACTTTGCATGGGCTTATAAAATTCCAGGAGRATTTCAGTTCTTATACAAAGTTTAGGGAAGCTCTGTAAAGCCCACTGTAAAGTGGTCTGGGCAGCCCCAAATATGAAAAAAACACACTAAGTTTTTAGTGTTATATATTAGATGATCAAAGAATATACACTGAGAAGTTCAGATAGAAATTGAAATAATTTAAAACTGCAGTAAACATCTTTTTTCAAATATATGGTATTTGTGGTTTGGTAACTTCACAGTTACCAGTGCTGCCTAGGGACATTTTACTCAAAAGAATCAWGTAAGACTAAATATCAAGGTTTTTAGTTGTAACAAAAGTAAAAAGTACAATTCCTTCCATCTGAGAGTATTTTAATTGGATTTTGTGACTMCTTGATAATATGTTTGGGTTTAGATGAGCAGAGAAACTGTTAACAATACTGACAATTGAAAAATCACTTAAAATATAGTTGGAGAAAAATGAAGTAAACAAGGCTCTCAACAAGCTGCTATGGCTTCAAGCTATACATACASGGGCCAGAAGTGTCTCCAGAAGACAAATTTCAGTTATGTTTTCCATTTTTTATTGATAACTGTATTAATTAGCTGGGAAGTCTTTCAAACTAGGGAATGAGTAAGAGAAATCTTTTCASACTCTAAAATGATTTCTTCAATGGCATTCCTTGCAGTTTAAGAGGCATTGTTCTACRGTATCTTCTACAAATTATATTCAAAGAAAAAGCAACGTATTTTTCTAATAAAATTCCAGAGCTACAGTGCAAAGTAAAAATAAAGCAAAAGCAGTGAAGTAAAATAGCATATCTTTTCTTGCAAATGATAACATCAGAAGAGAAAACAAYTTTTTGTTACTGATTGACAAGTATTGGAGAAGAGACTAACACTTCTAGAGTGTCCTCATACGATCTAGTTTTCAGATATCACCAGTTTTCATGTTGGAGGCAACAAACTCTCTAACACTGCAATTCTACAAACAGATGGGTTTTTTTTCCTAGTTCTGAATTGTTGCCTCCATGTTTCTTGCTGTCAGTTTCTCCAGAAAGCTCTACTTCAGTTCCACTTCTAGAAACCAAACAGAGTGCTGGAAAGCGTGTACAGTTGGCATTAAGCTTTTACCTCCTGCCCATCAAAAGCACTGGTGTGACCTTTCTGGGAATGCCATTAAAAGAGGAGCAATCACTGTGGGTGCATGCACATAAAATACTGAAAATAAATACAGYAGTAGGTAACATAATTCCTGGCCATCTCCACAAAGAATGCAGTCTAAGCAGTGACCTCTCCTGCACTTATCTTGAATGAGCTCTTACTGAAATCCACTAATGGGTTCTGATAATCTATTATTTATTGCAACAGACTCTRATAGAGAGTCTTAGCAGAGGACTCTCCTGTGTTTACAAATCCTTCAGATAAAATCTCTCACAAGTGACAGAAATGTGGCACCRGCAACTACATAYACCATTTCTTTTGGTTGMAGTTGTTTCTTTTCTGTTTGGTTTTAAAAACCAGAACCCTTCCTCCCCCAAAATACACAGCTTGATTTGCTTTCATTTTACCTAGTGCATCTTTAGCTTGGTTTTACAGAAAGCCACAGATACTGATATGCAACCATAAGCATCCCTTGGGCTTGAGGACATACCTCCATGTTATATTTTTCCACTGTCCTCCTCAAAGGATCCACAACCTGCCAGCAAATCAGGATGCAAAGATCAATCAGTAGCATCCCTCCAACTATCCCCAGTAGCTTCTGGTCTTTAATGATCTGGAGAGAAAAAAAAAAAAAAAAGGAAAGAAAAAAGAAGCAGGGAGATTCCCATGAGCCATAGACAGACCCTGTACAGCTTTATTCCTATATAGAGAGAAAAACACAGGTTGCTAATAATAMAGGTTTTTAACAAAGAACAGAGAAAAAAATATAYAGAAAGATGAAAGCAAGACAAATTATTTTAGTTCATTTCATGGTTATTAGAAGYATCTAAAGTGCTTTCCAACTTCTAAAAAGACTTTGGAAGCACTCTTAAATGGTAATATTGAAATCCGGGTTTAATGTTAAATCCCAGAAAATGTGAAAAATGTATTYTAGGGAGTCACTACTGTGTTTATGCATGCAAATGTGAAAAAATGTTCATCAGCCCCTCAGAGTAGCAAGAGTTGAGGCAGTTTTTACTAAGATTTAGTGTTGATTTCTTCATAACCTTCTTGGACATGGAATACACAGAAGTTATAAAAAATTTATTTTGGAGGGTTTTTTTGTGTCTATGTATTTAATATTTGCCTGTGTTACCCAGGGAGCAGTAAGGAATTATGCATTTTTTCTATATTACAAAGGTCAGAGGCTTTAATGCACATCCAGGGTAAAACATGCTTTTAATTTTGCTTGGGTTTTAGGTTAAAAAAAGAAAAACAAGAATTGCTGATAAAAATATCAAGCCAAACCATGTATTACAGTCTTTTATAACTGCATGCAATCCCTAAGCCATTTCTACTGTTGTACATATAGCAACACAGAAAAAAACACAACTACAAAAATAATGCAATTACATTATTTCAGTGGYAAAGTTGTAAGCATGTTGAAATATCAGGCTTAAATTAATTTTATTTCAGTGCTCTTGAGCCTATGGTCATGGTTTCTTAATTAGTATGCATTTCTATTATTAAGAACACTCATCCAATAGTCAAAAGTTATTGCCAAATTGCTTTAACATGAACAAAYCCACATTTTTTTTTTCTCAAGTTTTCATTCTTGGAAACAGTTGACTTAATCCAAATGAAATATTCAGAAATATTAAGCCTGAGAAGCTTAATAAAGTTGTGATTATTTCAGTTCAATTTGATGAAATTTGAAAATGCATTAAAAATCCAGAAGAGTCAGCTAATCTTAATAAAAGCAAGGTTAGTATTCCTGCATAGAATAAATTGTATTTGCATTAAATTCTTATCAAGCTGAAGGAAATGATAAAAATGAAGAAAATGTGAAATAATGTAAGAAGAACTTTAGAAAGTCTGGTTTTCATTGCTTKGTGTGATACCTTTTTTATTTTGAAAGATGGTTCGGCAACACTGTGCACCACCTCTTGTTAATCTGCTGGTTTATTTTATAGATAATTGGGTGCAAACTAGGAGCAAAATAAAGGCCAGCAATCAGAATGAGCTAAAGGACTCAATACATTATTTTCATTTCCTGAGACCAGTTATTTAAATCCATGTAGCTACCATCACCATAAAGGACTGGAAAATGATGTTTTCCACATGTTTGCAGCAGTAATGGAACAGTAGATCCATCTCAGAGWCAGCACAGGAATGCCTGCAGAGGGCAGGTGAAGGGGGAGGGTGCAGCTTTCATGGTGACACGTCCTGCTGCTGGATGATTTGGCAAGCAGAACTTAGGAAGGAAAAGGTGCCTTGGTGTGATGTGCAGGGGGAGGAAGGCTCTTCAAATGCATTTCTTCAGAAAGATAACGTGAAAGCAGATAATAAGCAAAGACTGTCAGACACAGCTTGGTCCCTCTTCTTCCTTGGGAAAACAGAACTGTGTCGGACCTTTTAGCTGTTTATCAAGTGGCAATCGAAGCTGAAAATGAGTGGGTTAGCCTCTGTAAAAATATCCTCTGCTGGGTTTTCTAATTTTCTCTTTAATGCCTGCAAACAGGCCTTGTGTGAAACACACTGCTCCTATTATGAGTGGACACATGGAAGAGAAAACCATGGGAGTGAAGTCCAAAGAGAATTTGGATTTAGATGAAATGTAGACAACTCAACTTTCTTTCCTTTAAAGAACAATTCATCCCACCTATCTTAGGTACAATTTAGGGTCAGAAAAATTAAGTGTTCTGAAACATGTCCTTCCCTTCCTCACTCCCTGCTCCCCAAGAGGAGATGAAGACAATTAACTTCAGCTAAAAATAGGCATTTGACAAACTTAAAGCTATGTGAAAACATCTTGATAGAAATGTCTCCCTCTGCTCTCCTATGCCAAAAAGGTTCCTTGAAAAAAAAAAAAAACCCAAATATCTTATCATTCTAATGACAATAGTACACATTTTACCTAGGATAGGTAAGTAGCTTGTTGTCTTCCATATTTGTATGGACTATATAAATACTGAAAGTAAGGTTGCATTGAATGCAKATTTACCAACCCCTGGCAATATCAAACTGGTACAKCAATCCCAGAAGCAAAGGAGWGTARGGATATTATTAAAAGCAGTAATACTGATAATCCAGTCACAAGATCAAGACAAATCACTTCCTATTCATGATCACATTGCTAATGTGATCACATCACTTCTCCTTGCTCTTGTACATCTGTCTTTCATACCCGACCTYACATTACTGCAAATCAGTATTATAGTTCACTTGTAAGTTTGGTCACCTTTTTAGGACAGGTAGTTCTTATAAAAAAAATAAAAGTAGAGATACAGCAAACAGCGAAGCTCTTCCTTGGATACCTCTTGCAAGTATCTTTTCCCTGCATTCTCTGCCCTTTTCTGGACAGAAGGAGAGTTGTATAACAAGAGCTGTCACTGGCAGTGGGTATTATTCACACCTTTCTCCTGTCAGACAGCCAGGAGAAGAGCAAGCACAAGAAAGCCCATCAGATAACCTGAGTGACCTGCACTGTTGTGATGAGCTCTGTAAAACACCGTGGTTCTGGTGCTGCTGTGGGGTGAGAAGAGTGAATGCAGGGCACCCAGGGCTGCATCCCACAGCCATCACAGCACTGTGCTTGGCCTTGTCCTGGTCTGTCCTTGGCAAAACCACTGCTGGAGCACAGCTCTGAAGCAAAACTCTCCACCAAAATGCTTATTTCAAAAAAAAACAGAGAGGTTCAATTATGTTTCACTTCAGGCCAGTCATTAGCAGCTTGTCCTAACAGAGATTTGCCCTGAGAAATGCCACTGGTATTTTACCAACAGCATTTCTAAAAGACTTGCTGCTCTCCCCTTTCCACCTGCAGGAAGCCCAGCCACTCCCACYTGTCAGAGCTCCTTAAGTTCAGTACATTCACTCCTTGGGAAACACCAGATGCACTGAAGGAGTCTTGACTCAGATCTTGTGAATCCAACAAATTCTCTGTCTGACAAAAGAAAGTCACGAACAACTGAGGCTCCTCACAATCAAATATGTAATTCTTCTTTAAGAGGAAGGGTTTCATTTTTTTCCCCTTTTCATTTTCCTTCTAGCATACAGTAAATCAGCCTTTGGAGAAATGCATGGTAGCTAATAAAATCCATTTTTTCAAGTGCTCCTGAATCCTTGCTGAAGCCAAGCTCTCACACAGCAGCATCTGTGAGTCATGTTTTGTACCATCTGTGATTGGATAGGTGAATCTGTCTCATCCTGGCAGATCTGCACACTGTTATAAATGCCACTGCTACCAGTCTGGACTACATATCTGGATATGAAGAGATCTGTCCTCAAAACAGATACACTCAGAACAGAAGTTGGTAGGTCACCTTCTTCTCAGCAACACTGCTGTATGAGCAAATCAAAATTATTTTGAAAACTCATGACCAAGAGGACAGATCAAAGTCCTTACTCTTCACAGACCCGGTGGTCTGATCACAGGAGATATAAAATCTGTCTAAAGCTCTGGGCTACAGTCTCTTCTCGTGGAAACTCTTGAAAATTTTCTGGAACTATCACAGGCTGTAGTACCTGCCACAGTAACTTCAGCTGTCCTTTTGGTTATTACTGCACAAACCTTTTGCTGGGCTTTTTTTTTCATTTGCTTCTTAAAGCATATCCATTGTGTCCTGGAGGACCCTATCATCCACCAGTTTGTGGGATCACCTGGCAATCTGGCAATCAACAGTAACTAAACATTGTTTGTTTTTTATAGTTATGGCTAAGAAAAGTGTTTTGTTATTTCTTACCTTCCTAGAAACCAACTCTGAAAGTGTTTATGACATAGACCTTTAAGCTGAACTACATTCTAAACCAGGAAGAAAAAGTCTTGCATATGAAGACTTACCCTTTTCTCCAGGATGCAACCTAAGTTTTGTACTCTCTGAGTTTCACAAGCAGCTTCCCAGCRTGGCTGAAGAGTTAATTTACTCCTGTCTTTTCTTAGTTTCCCCGTTACCAGGTCACCTTGATTTGTCAGAATGAAACACCTCTAAATTTAAAGCTATATTAGCTAAATCTTTGTGGTTGGTTTGTTTGKTTGGTTTTTAATTGAATTTATAGAAACATATAAAGGCTGGGWAYGCTTTTCTATTTWTTCATAGGTTTTKATAWAAATATATATATTTTCTTTTTAATTTAAAATGTAGGGTTATTTTCTGTTTAAGAAGGCAATTCTGGTTTCTCTTATGTAGATCWACTCTTTCTAGTCTAGCTGACAGATCTGTCCCTTGCCTTCTGGCACTAGCTGCATAAACACTTAATGTTATTAATTAACTTTTTTTTTCAGTTGTCTCTTCCCCAGACTCCTGGGAYGGAATCTGTAGAGAGAAACTCTCTWTAAAGGATCCCTCTGTGAAGTTTCCTAGACCTAGTCAATTAAATGAATACGACTGACATCAATTATAAAAGCCCTCAGAAATCCAAAACCAAATATTCCTCTCCCTGGTACACACAGGAATCCTGCTGATGGGAGTCCTCTCTCCGAACTGGAGGGCAAAGAAAGAAAATAAAGTTTGCAGGGAAAAACATTGTAAAGTCTGCAAGGCTGCAAAAGGGACCATGAAACCACTCCTGAACCTGCCTTCAGGACACTSTCCAGTGCATGGACTGGCCTGTCATTTGTCTCAGCATGGCTAA